TCTATAGTCTAGTCTATAGTCTAGTCTATAGTCTAGGTCTATAGTCTAGGTCTATAGTCTAGTCTATAGTCTAGTCTATAGTCTAGTCTATAGTCTAGTCTATAGTCTAGTCTATAGTCTAGTCTATAGTCTAATCTATAGTCTAGTCTATAGTCTGGTCTATAGTCTAGTCTTTAGTCTAGTCTATAGTCTAGTCTATAGTCTAGTCTATAGTCTAGTCTATAGTCTAGTCTATAGTCTAGTCTATAGTCTAGTCTATAGTCTAGTCTATAGTCTAGTCTATAGTCTAGTCTATAGTCTAGTCTATAGTCTAGTCTATAGTCTATTCTAAAGTCTAGTCTATAGTCTAGTCTATAGTCTAGTCTATAGTCTAGTCTATAGTCTAGTCTATAGTCTAGTCTATAGTCTAGTCTATAGTCTAGTCTATAGTCTAGTCTATAGTCTAGTCTATAGTCTAGTCTATAGTCTAGTCTATAGTCTAGTCTATAGTCTAGTCTATAGTCTAGTCTATAGTCTAGTCTAGTCAATAGTCTAGTCTATAGTCTAGTCTAGTCTATAGTCTAGTCTATAGTCTAGTCTATAGTCTAGTCTAGTCTATAGTCTAGTCTATAGTCTAGTCTATAGTCTAGTCTATAGTCTAGTCTATAGTCTAGTCTATAGTCTAGTCTATAGTCTAGTCTATAGTCTAGTCTATAGTCTAGTTATAGTCTAGTCTAGTCTATAGTCTAGTCTATAGTCTAGTCTATAGTCTAGTCTATAGTCTAGTTATAGTCTAGTCTATAGTCTAGTCTATAGTCTAGTCTATAGTCTAGTCTATAGTCTAGTCTATAGTCTAGTCTATAGTCTAGTCTATAGTCTAGTCTATAGTCTAGTCTATAGTCTAGTCTATAGTCTAGTCTATAGTATAGTCTATAGTCTAGTCTATAGTCTAGTCTATAGTCTAGTCTATAGTCTAGTCTATAGTCTAGTCTATAGTCTAGTCTATAGTCTAGTCTATAGTCTAGTCTATAGTCTAGTCTATAGTCTAGTCTATAGTCTAGTCTATAGTCTAGTCTATAGTCTAGTCTATAGTCTAGTCTATAGTCTAGTCTATAGTCTAGTCTATTGTCTAGTCTATAGTCTAGTCTTGTCTATTGTTCTCTCTATCCCACTGAAGTCCTCCTCAAAGATCAAACTCTGTGTAAATTCATCTTTAGCAACATATTTTAAATTGACGTCCAATAAATCAATTAGATAATTTAAAAGCCAAAATGATAAAATTATCGTAATTTTCAAATCAATTTATATAAAATTAAAAAAGATTTATTAAATTGTTTATGGTTATTTATAGAAATAAAAAACCAACATTGTTGTCTAAACATTTAATTACTTTTTTTTTTTTGTATGATATTAAAATTTAATAATTAAATAACACATTTTTAAAGCTTGACTTTGACTTCCTACAGTATTTTAAGCAAAAAGATCAGTTAGCAAAAAAAAACTAAAAAAAGATCATTAACAAATTTTAAGGTGGAGGCATGATAAGGGGATACAATTTCATAGTGTTTATGTTTGTTTTTTAAAGTTGTCTATTGGTGAAGTTTGTTGACATCTTCCGTAGTTATAAATTAACGCAAAAACATTAACAAAATATTTGCTTACAATAAAAAAACTATTAATTTATAAAAAAAAAACTCCTCCTGTAAATAAACAATATTTCGCAGCATCTTCATGAACAAAGTCATGGCAACTGTTGTCAGTTATTGTTGCCAACCACTGATCATGATTATCATGTTTGTGTGTGTGTGTGTACGCTAGTGATGCCAACCATTTTACATACATTGTTTACCACTTTTCAATGTTATTTGGAAATTTATTGACAAAAGTCAAAAGGTTTAAGTTAGAAATAAAATATAGCACGATTTTTGTGAGAACTTGAACTTGAAGTCATTTAAAGTTAATTAAATATGCATATGATTTTTATTTTTGTTTATTTGTTTTGTGGTGGGATTTTGTAAATAATATAAACATTTTCTTAATTTAAATAATTATTTATAAATGTGTTTACAAATTTTTAAAATTTTCCCAAATAATAATTAAAATTGTATATAGTTAACACATATATATTTAAGTAATTATCGAGTTAATAATTTATAGTGGAAAATCAGATGATCAGTTCTCATTAATCGCTCAACTTATCATGTCAGATAATCAAGAGATCTTTATGAATTCGTCTTAGATTAAGCTTATGGAATATGCTCCAGATTAAATACAGTCTAGTTTTAACTAAGACCGAAGCTTTGATTAGAAACTTTGCAAGATTTTCGCAAAATGATGGCGAGTTTACTAACTTCTTAAACTATGTCAACATTGAGATATTTCTCGGATATCGATTAACTAAGTTCCCTTCATGTAGTTCGAGTTTAAAGATATCACATTTTACGATCGTTATTGTAAAATATCACATTCGAAAAACTGCAAAACGGTCTTCTCTTTACATAACTGATCCTCTATTTCATAAAAACCGGAGTAATTGCTTCAAAACATGTCCCTTCTAAAATATAATTGAATTTGTATGTAAGGATGGACATTAACTTCTTAGAAGAAGTCGGAGCCTTCCCCCACTACTCTTACAATCGAGATCTGATATAGATTGCTGACCCTGTATAACAAAAGTACAATTTTTCAGTGATTCTGATATATAAAGCACGTATTGCACTGATCAGGTTAAGTTTAAAGCTGCAACTTAAGAAATCTACACAATGCAGTTTTATCTGGAATCCCAACTGAAATAACTCTGTAATCGAGGTAGACATTAACTTTTCCTTAGCAGGCTGATGTCTGCGAAAAGATCAGATGTTTATGTTAGCGATAAAAGCAGATCAGTTGATTCTAAAGTTTTTCCTAAGTCCGGCGCATGAGAACGGATCTTTGTCTTTGACTTTTTGTTCATTTCTGGATTAGTTCACATATTAAACTATCTAAAAGTCTAACCCTGTTCATTTAAACAGTGGATTTTTTTTAATTGTATTGATCATTTTGCTAATTGTTATTTTAGTTAATAGATTAATTAGTTGCCTAAAAAAATATTACAAAAAACACAATTTTCACATCGCCATACAAAACAATTAATCATTAAGATATAAATAATATATATAGAAACCTATTGTTATATGACAAATTAACTCTTCGAAGAATTGCAAATGAAATCATTGACGAAATTTTCAATAGCAAATCGATAAAGCTCTTGGCAAAACATTTGAACAGACTTTTGTAATTACACCATTAAGTGGGTGATTTTTAAATGTGTAGCTTCGGGGCAGACAATTTGTCATTGAGATGTGGAAGTTGTTAACTTAAAGATAACGATTTTGAAATCAAACACAGTGGATCTATTGGACTACTTATAGACTAGACTTTAGACTATAGAGTAGACTATAGGCAAAATTAAAGACTAGATATAGTTTATACTACAGACTAGACTATATAGAGTAGTCTACAGGCCATACTATACAGTGATCTATATTCCAGACTATAGAGTAGTCTATAGGCCAGACTAAAGAGTAGTCTATAAGCCAGACTATAGAGTAGTCTATAGGCCAGACTAAAGAGTAGTCTATAAGCCAGACTATAGAGTAGTCTATAGGCCAGACTATAGAGTAGTTTATAGACCAAACTATAGAGTATAGGACAGACTATAGAGTAGTCTATAGTCCAGACTATAGAGTAGTTTATAGTCCAGACTAAAAAGTGGTCTATAGGCCAGACTAAAGAGTAGTCTATAGGCCAGACTATAGAGTAGTCTATAGGCCAGACTATAGAGTATTCTAAAGGCCAGACCATAGAGTAGTCCATAGGCCAGACTATAGAGTATTCTAAAGGCCAGACCATCGAGTAGTCCATAGGCCGGACTATAGAGTAGTCTAAAGGCCAGACTATAAAGTTGTTTACAGACTAGACTATAGAGTAGTCTATAGGCTAGACTATAGAGTAGTCTATAGGCTAGACTATAGAGTAGTCTATAGGCTAGACTATAGAGTAGTCTATAGGCCGGACTATAGAGTAGACTACAGGCCAGACTATAGAGTAGTTTATAAACCAGACTATAGAGTAGTCTATAGGCTAGACTATAGAGTCTAAAGGCTAGACTATAGAGTCTATAGGCTAGACTATAGAGTAGTCTATAGGCTAGACTATAGAGTCTAAAGGCTAGACTATAGAGTCTATAGGCTAGACTATAGAGTAGTCTATAGGCCGGACTATAGAGTAGTCTGTAGGCCAGACTATATAGTAGTCTATAGGCCAGACTATAAAAAAGTCCATAGCTCACACAATTGAGTAGTGTAAAGGCCAAACTATAGAGTTGTTTACAGACTAAACTATAGAGTAGTCAACAGGCCAGACTATAGAGTAGTCTATAGGCCAGACTATAGAGTAGTCTATAGGCCAGACTATAGAGTAGTCTATAGGCCAGACTATAGAGTAGTTCGTAGGATAGACTATGGAGTAGTCTATAGTATAGACTATATCGTAGTATATAGTCCAGACTATAGAGCAGTCTATAGGCCAGACTATAGAGTAGTCTATAGTCCATGCTATGGAGTAGTATATAAGCCAGACTATAGAGTAGTCTAAAGTTCAGGCTATAGGACAGACTATAGTGTAGTCTATAGATTCACAGATGCTATCCAGAGTAGTAGTATCTTAAATGGGTGACCTTGGCTTTATCTGATTTCTTTCATTTTATGTTTTTTACTGTTAAATGTTCTTTGTTTTAAAAACTGTTTATAGCTTTATAATAAATGTTTAATATGTTTTTTATACTTCGGGTTTACAAGGGTTAAACTATTTTCCTCTTTTTCTAGTTACTTCTTTGTGTGTCTCTTCTTCTGTCTTCTTCTTCTTCTCTCCTTCTCTCTTATACAATTCTTGTAGTTCACAACCCCACTTACATGTAACTACAGAAACAACAACAACAAAAAAACTACACAACCCACACACTAAAACTGCATGCAAGATAACTTGAACAAAAAACAAAAATCCATTCAATTTCAGACTCACTTGATTCAACATTTCCATTAGATTTACAACCGCCCATCTTTGAGGCAACAGCATCGGAAACCTCATCCTCACAGCCGAACGGAGACAGCAAGAACAGCAACGATGCCACCACAATCGATAGTTATGGTAATCCTATTGAAAGCCTACAACCCATAGAAACACCGGATGGTCGCAAGGTTGTAAGCGCTCAAGGTCTACAGTTTGAAATACCGAATTATGCTTCGGGCATAACAGAACTTAAGAAGCCTTCTGATGATTTACTGCCACCATTTGTTGGTGAGTTTAGCAATGTTAATGATAGAACTACAACAACAACAAGAACAGCAAATAGTATAGATGATGTGGGACTTGAAAACATTAAACAGTCTGGTATTAAGCGTTTTAATAGCCAGGCTGGTGACGACAACGACAAAAGCCTACAGCAGCAAGAAAATCTTTTGAGATTTAAAAGGCAGCTTCAAGAAACTACCACTACTACCACAGACACTAATAATAATAATAATAATATTAACCACTACTACAATAGTTTAAACACCAACACTAAACCACCACAAGACGAGGTTTTTCAAGCACCAACAGACAGTTTTAAACATAATGTTGCGAACACGATGACCCAGACCATGACCCCCACGACCAATACTAACCTTAAACAAATGGACCTTGAAGTCACCAACACCAATACACCACCATCATCTAAAGTAGCGAATAGTTTAAGTCTTAATTTAGTTGATATGTCTTTCACCAACACCACCGCCATAGATTCATCATACACATCTTCATCTTCAGTTTCACCTTTGCCTTATAAAACTTCTTTTCAGTCACCATCTTCTAGAACTAAGCTTTCAGCACACTATACCCCTATAAGTAATGGTAACTTTAATTATCCCAATGTACCCACTGATACGTCCATTATCGATCGTATTGTTTCTAAATATAAAAATCCCCTTCCTACCTTAGATCCCATTGTCGTTGCACTACCAAATGAATCCACAAATCCAGGTTCATCTTCTTCAACGGCTGCCGTAAAGACCACCAGCGTTCATGTGGAAAGTGTGCCCCTAGTGGAAGTCAAAACAAATCCAACTTATACCAAGAACGCCTACTTTAAGGGCTTACCCGATTACATATTGGAACTCAACGATCCTGATATTGGAGGACCAGTCGCTTATGAACCGGCCGAGGATAATCGTGGTTTGAAAGTTATAGCTTGGGATTTATTGCCACCTTTGGAGGCTGATCCCAACGACAAATCTATTAGTCATAGTAATAAAGTCAGCATAACAACAACTGGTCACAATTTGGCATCTAGTCATATAACTACTACTCACAGTTCACCTCAAATAGGCTCAAGATTTTCAGCAGAGACTACAACCAAACCAAATTATACACAAAGTAGAGGATCTTATTATAGCACTACCTCTTTAACGCCCAGAACTACCACCACAAGACGTACCACAACCTCGACCACCACCACAACACCCAGAACTACCACTACTCCCAGAACTACTACTACACCCAGAACAACCACGCGCCGAAGCACCACCCCTAGAACTACGACACCCAGAACTACTACCGCACAACCAGATTCTTCGGAATTCTTTAAACTAGCAGCAGGAGATTCATATACCCTACCACCCTGGCTGGCCGACATAGATGATCCCGAACTAGATGTGGCAGTGGCTTTTGAAGTACCCGAAGATATCAATGAATACAATCACACCTTATCAAAGGACATATTGCCACCTTTAGAACCTTATACAGATTTGAATAATCTTCACTTGACACCGCCACCTCATTTCAAAAATAGCCATACAACAACTCCTAGAACCACCACCACCAGAAGAACTACCACTACTACTACCACCACCACCCGAAAACCTACTATATCCACCAATCAACCTCATTGGATAAGAGCCAAGGCAACATCGGCTAAACCCACTATAGCTACATTTAACAATCAATTCACTAGTCTTAGTCCATCCATAACATCAAATAATTTTGCACAACGCACTGCGAGCACTACCACAACCTCCACCACCACAACAACAGTCAAGCCTAGAACTACTATAAACTACTATAACCGACAACTTTCCACAACTACTCCTCCAACAACAGATAAAATCGGCAGCAGCAGTGAGGAACAAGGTAAAAAACAAAAGAATCCCTTCTTACCCTCTGGATTTGATGATGGCAAATATAAACCTCAAGCTAATGGAAGAAGAACTACTACCCACTACAACACCGGCTCCCGTAATAGTCGAGCCCAATCCTTTCGAGCCTACCATACCACCATGGCTTAGAGATTTCGATTATCCCGATCTAGCAGCTGGAGTACCCTTTGTCTATGATCCCAATGAAGATGAAAGTCCGGTGGACAAAAACATCTTGCCTCCCTCGAAAACCGAAGAAACTAACAAGCCCTCATTCATAACGAATCCCTCCTCTAGCTCTCCCTTTTTAAATTCCCAAACGCCTCAAGGTTTCACAAATAAATTCACTTCTTCCGCTACTTCCCTAACTTCTTCTTCTTCTATCCCATCAATTGTAACAATTCCACTCCCATCCACACAAACCAATCAAGATGATAGTACGTTTTCGCGACCACCACTCGTGTTCGTACCACCACCAACTGCCTCAGCGGAGGGCAACGTTGATGTAGCTAAGAAAACCTCATCCACATTTAACAAAAATTTTGCAGCACCCTTTGAATCCGCGGGTCCGGCCACCACCACGACCGCAACAGTTACCAGCTCTAAGAAGTCACCACCCCTAAGTGCTGATCGTGAATCATTCCCGCCCTTCAACAATGCCATTACTGGCTCCACCACTTTGCCCAGTAAGACAACCTTTTCGAAGAGCGAAGATGGCAAAGTTATTACCAATAATATCTTCTTGAGTGGTAGTATTGGTTCGACATCGGCCAAACCATTTGGTACCAGTCAAACTGAGAAAAGTAAGTCTTGAAAAATTAAATATTTGTTATAAATCGGTCAAGGTGAAATGCTTTATATTATATAGTGGTCTTTAGATAGTACTACAGACTAGACTATAGACTAGACTATAGACTAGAATATAGACTAGACTAGACTATAGACTAGACTAGACTATAGACTAGACTATAGACTAGACTATAGACTAGACTATAGACTAGACTAGACTATAGACTAGACTATAGACTAGACTATAGACTAGACTATAGACTAGACTATAGACTAGACTATAGACTAGACTATAGACTAGACTATAGACTAGACTATAGACTAGACTATAGACTAGACTATAGACTAGACTATAGACTAGACTATAGACTAGACTAGACTATAGACTCGACTATAGACTAGACTATAGACTAGACTATAGACTAAACTATAGACTAGACTATAGACTAGACTATAGACTAGACTATAGACTAGACTATAGACTAGACTATAGACTAGACTATAGACTAGACTATAGACTAGACTATAGACTAGACTATAGACTAGACTATAGACTAGACTATAGACTAGACTATAGACTAGACTATAGACTAGACTATAGACTAGACTATAGACTAGACTATAGACTAGACTATAGACTAGACTATAGACTAGACTATAGACTAGACTATAGACTACTATAGACTAGACTATAGACTAGACTATAGACTAGACTATAGACTAGACTATAGACTATAGACTAGCTATAGACTAGACTATAGACTAGACTATAGACTAGACTATAGACTAGACTATAGACTAGACTATAGACTAGACTATAGACTAGACTATAGACTAGACTATAGACTAGACTATAGACTAGACTATAGACTAGACTATAGACTAGACTATAGACTAGACTATAGACTAGACTATAGACTAGACTATAGACTAGACTATAGACTAGACTATAGACTAGACTATAGACTAGACTATAGACTAGACTATAGACTAGACTATAGACTAGACTATAGACTAGACTATAGACTAGACTATAGACTAGACTATAGACTAGACTATAGACTAGACTATAGACTAGACTATAGACTAGACTATAGACTAGACTATAGACTAGACTATAGACTAGACTATAGACTAGACTATAGACTAGATTAGACTAGATTATAGACTAGACTATAGACTAGACTATAGACTAGACTATAGACTAGACTATAGACTAGACTATAGACTAGACTATAGACTAGACTATAGACTAGACTATAGACTAGACTATAGACTAGACTATAGACTAGACTATAGACTAGACTATAGACTAGACTATAGACTAGATTATAGACTAGACTATAGACTAGACTATAGACTAGACTATAGACTAGACTATAGACTAGACTATAGACTAGACTATAGACTATACTATAGACTAGACAAATTCTAGTTTTTAAGCCCCTTTTGTTGACCAAACTTATCTCTATTATTCTTCCATTCATTTTATTTCAAAACCTACGATTCAGATACTTTTACCAGCCAATCATTCACGGGCTCTTCGTTCACCAAATCCACCACTGCCTCTTCCGTATTCAAACAAATCGGTACAACTTCATCAGCAGCCTCTGGATTTGTTACATCAGGTGGCTCAACCTTTGGTTCAACTGCCAGCAGTGATGGCGCTAAATATACCGGACGTTTTGGCGGTCCCCCTGGCGTTTTGGCCCCACAAAGTAATGGCTTCACTACCTCCAGCACAACCGTAACAAAATCATATAAACAGCCCTCATTTACCACTTTTGGAGTAACTAGCTCTCCCGGTTTTGCAACCGTCAAGAAAGACAAATTCACCGGTAGCTTTGGTGGACCACCAGGGGTATTGAAGCCCTATGATAATGTTAAGAATCGTTAAAAAATAATACTTTTAAAGAGAGGAAGCAAGAAATATTATTAGTTTTAGTTAAATTATTTATAACAACACTGAACAAAATTTAAAAGAAACTGGACAATAATTAATAAACATAAGTTTAAATTGTTTATTTTCTTTACAAAAATATTTGTTAATTTGAACTTTGAATAACGAATACTCATCTAAATTTTATATGTATGTATATGTATTGTATATTATAACACACAATAATTTATTGTTTTTTTATACATTTTTTGTCAAGAAAAAATATAAAATAAATTAAACCTTAAAGCGATTATCCCTAATTTTGTACCATAAATATTATAAGTTAAACATATTAAAAAAATAATGGCTTTATTTGGTTATTTCTTTTTTTTTTATTTAATAATTTGCTAATAAAATTTAAATGACAAAAAAATTTAAAAGAATAAAACAAAAACTTGAATTTTTCTTTTAGATTCTTGGGGCGATGTCGCCACAAGTAGAAATTTATTTTGCTTGATTGTTGACAATTCAGTTAGAGTTTGAACATCATGGTTAATTTCGATTGACATGCAAACTATGTATAGGTAATGTTATTATTTACTGTCTAAATACACTGACAAAAGGGTTGAGTATAAAAGGGGGATAGATTTAAACACAGAAGAACTATTTGCATTCTTTTAGTAATTTCGATCTGTTTCCGCTATCGACATTTTAGAAAAGATCATGTCGAAAACTTTACGTTGATAATATTCTATTACTTTTATTTTAGCACCAAACCCATGTTTTTATCAGTGTAAAATTATTTATTTATGTTGTCATAAATAACAAAACCATGTTTATTTTTTTTTTTGCTATTTTGTCTAGAAAAGTTTACTTGTTGCTTGTTTAGGGAATTATTCAAATAAGACTAGACTATAGACTAGACTATAAACAAGACTATAGACTTGATTCAAGACTAGACTACAGACAGGACTATAGATTAGTCTGTAGACTAGATTGAACAGTAGACTAGACAATAGACTAGACTATAGACTAGACTATAGACGAGACTATATACTAGACTATACACTAGACTAGATTATAGACTAGACTATAGGCTAGACTATAGACTAGACTATAGACTAGACTATAGACTAGACTATAGACTAGACTATAGACTAGACTATAGACTAGACTATAGACTAGACTATAGACTAGACTACAGACTAGACTATATACTAGACTATAGACTAGACTATATATTAGACTATAGACTAGACTATAGACTAGACTAGACTATAGACTAGACTAGACTATATACTAGACTATAGACTAGACTATATATTAGACTATAGACTAGACTATAGACTAGACTAGACTATAGACTAGACTATAGACTAGACTATAGACTAGACTATAGACTAGACTATAGACTAGACTAGACTATAGACTAGACTAGACTATAGACTAGACTAGACTATAGACTAGACTAGACTATAGACTAGACTAGACTATAGACTAGACTATAGACTAGACTATAGACTAGACTATAGACTAGACTATAGACTAGACTATAGACTAGACTATAGACTAGACTATAGACTAGACTATAGACTAGACTATAGACTAGACTATAGACTAGACTATAGACTAGACTATAGACTAGACTATAGACTAGACTATAGACTAGACTATAGACTAGACTATAGACTAGACTAGACTAGAGACTACTAGACTATAGACTAGACTATAGACTAGACATAGACAAGACTATAGACTAGACTATAGGACAGACTATAGACTATACTATAGACTAGACTTATAGACTAGACTATAGACTAGACTATAGACTAGACTATAACTCAGACTATAGAATAGATATCGACTAGTACATACTAGGAATATAGAATAGACTCTTAAGACTAGACATAGACAGAATATAGACTAGACATAGACTGACTATAGACTAGACTATAGACTAGACTATGACTCGACTATAGATAGACTATAGACTAGATATTAGACATAGACTATAGACTAGACTCTATAGACTAGATATAGCTAGCTATAGACTAGACTATAGACTAGACATAGACTAGACTAGAGACTTAGACTATAGACTAGACTATCGACTAGGACTATAGACTAGATAGACTAGACTAATAGACTATGGACTAGACTATAGACTAGGACTATAAGGCTTGACTATAGACTAGACTATAGACTAGACTATAGACTAGACTATACGCTAGACTATAGACTAGACTATAGACTAGACTATAGACTAGACTATAGACTAGACTATAGACTAGACTATAGACTAGACTATAGACTAGACTATAGACTAGACTATAGATTAGACTATAGACTACACTATAGACTAGACTATAGACTAGACTATATAGACAAGACTATAGACTAGACTATAGACTAGACTATAGACTAGACTATAGACTAGACTATAGACTAGACTATAGACTAGACTATAGACTAGACTATAGACTAGACTATAGACTAGACTATAGACTAGACTATAGACTAGACTATAGACTAGACTATAGACTAGACTATAGATTAGACTATAGACTAGACTATAGACTAGACTATAGATTAGACTATAGACTAGACTATAGACTAGACTATAGACTAGACTATATAGACAAGACTATAGACTAGACTATAGACTACCTATAGACTAGACTATAGACTAGACTATAGACTAGACTATAGACTAGACTATAGACTAGACTATAGACTGACTATAGACTAACTAGACTAGACTATAGACTAGACTATAGACTAGACTATAGACTAGACTATAGACTAGACTAACCTGGCCTCCGGTAGGTTAGTGGTTAGTGTTCTAGTCTGGTAGACCGGAGGGTGGTGGTTCGATTCCCACCTGAGGCACTGGTTAAGGAGCGCACAACAGGCCCGATAGAGGCCTAGGTGTATTTCTTCGGATTTGATGTATATACATCCTCCTTTCAAACTAACTAACTAACTAACTAACTAGACTAGACTATAGACTAGACTATAGACTAGACTATAGACTAGACTATAGACTAGACTATAGACTAGACTATAGACTAGACTATAGACTAGACTATAGATTAGACTATAGACTACACTATAGACTAGACTATAGACTAGACTATATAGACAAGACTATAGACTAGACATAGACTAGACTATAGAACTAGACTATAGACTAGACTATAGACTAGACTATAGACTAGACTATAGTAGACTAGACTAGACTATAGACTAGACTATAGACTAGACTATAGACTAGACTATAGACTAGACTATAGACTAGACTATAGACTAGACTATAGACTAGACTATAGACTAGACTATAGACTAGACTATACTCTATATACCAGAATATATACCAGACTATAGACTAAACTATAGACTAGACTATATAGTAGACTATTTGAATTGTATTCATTACTATTGAGGAAAGCTATGCTCTCCTTTTTATATTACATTAATTATTTTTCCTTTTCCAATCCACAAACACCCCTCTAACCTTTACACTCCCTCAACCAACAACCATCGTCTCCTTAATGTCTGTCTGTAGTGAATTTTAAGTAACCAATTTCAGCAATTGTCTATCATTTCCTTCTAGTCCTCTTACCCAACTAAACTGTGCTAATTTAAAGTACAAATTTCCCAAATACATGCTATTTAGATATTTGCATATTTATTATGATAAATAATAAATAAACAATAATATAAATGATAGTAGAAAATAAGTAAAATATGTCATCAAGTAATTTTTTACCATAAAAACAATACTAAACAAATTAATAATAAGTTTTGTCATTTACATGAACAATAAATGTAAAATCAAATTATCTTTTATGGATTATAGTTGTGATTTTTATTAAATATCAAGGGAATAAAATCACAATTTTAAGAGTATAAAATAAACATTAACTCATAGAGTTTAATTTGTGGTGAAAATGAAATGCTTCTGTGAAAAATTTTCATTGTCAGGATGAAGTCTAGTGTTTCGTACAGACTATTATAAACTATAGTACAGTCTATGGCCTAGTCTAGTCTATAGTCTAGTCTATGGCCTAGTCTATAGTCTAGTCTATAGTCTAGTCTATAATCTAGTCTATGGCCTAGTCTATAGTCTAGTCTATAGTCTAGTCTATAGTCTAGTCTATAGTCTAGTTCTATAGTCTAGTCTATAGTCTAGTCTAGTCTATAGTCTAGTCTATAGTCTAGTCTATAGTCTAGTCTATAGTCTAGTCTAGTCTATAGTCTAGTCTATAGTCTAGTCTATAGTCTAGTCTATAGTCTAGTCTATAGTCTAGTCTATAGTCTAGTCTATAGTCTAGTCTATAGTCTAGTCTATAGTCTAGTCTATAGTCTAGTCTATAGTCTAGTCTATAGTCTAGTCTATAGTCTAGTCTATAGTCTAGTCTATAGTCTAGTCTATAGTCTAGTCTATAGTCTAGTCTATATATAGTCTATATAGTCTAGTCTATAGTTAGTCTATAGTCTAGTCTATAGTCTAGTCTATAGTTTAGTCTATAGTCTAGTCTATAGTCTAGTCTATAGTCTAGTCTATAGACTAGTCTATAGTCTAGTCTATAGTCTAGTCTATAGTCTAGTCTATAGTCTAGTCTATAGTCTAGTCTATAGTCTAGTCTAGTCTATAGTCTAGTCTATAGTCTAGTCTATAGTCTAGTCTATAGTCTAGTCTATAGTCTAGTCTATAGTCTAGTCTATAGTCTAGTCTATAGTCTAGTCTATAGTCTAGTCTATAGTCTAGTCTATAGTCTAGTCTATAGTCTAGTCTATAGTCTAGTCTAGTCTATAGTCTAGTCTAGTCTAGTCTAGTCTAGTCTATAGTCTAGTCTAGTCTATATAGTCTAGTCTATAGTCTAGTCTAGTCTATAGTCTAGTCTATAGTCTAGTCTAGTCTAGTCTAGTCTAGTCTATAGTCTAGTCTAGTCTATAGTCTAGTCTAGTCTATAGTCTAGTCTAGTCTAGTCTAGTCTATAGTCTAGTCTAGTCTAGTCTAGTCTATAGTCTAGTCTAGTCTAGTCTATAGTCTAGTCTATAGTCTAGTCTATAGTCTAGTATATAGTCTAGTCTATAGTCTAGTCTATAGTCTAGTCTATAGTCTAGTCTATAGTCTAGTCTATAGTCTAGTCTATAGTCTAGTCTATAGTCTAGTCTATAGTCTAGTCTATAGTCTAGTCTATAGTCTAGTCTATAGTCTAGTCTATAGTCTAGTCTATAGTCTAGTCTATAGTCTAGTCTACAGTCTAGTCTATAGTCCAGTCTATAGTCTAGTCTACAGTCTAGTCTATAGTCTAGTCTATAGTCTAGTCTATAGTCTAGTCTATAGTCTAGTCTATAGTCTAGTCTATAGTCTAGTCTATAGTCTAGTCTATAGTCTAGTCTATAGTCTAGTCTATAGTCTAGTCTACAGTCTAGTCTATAGTCTAG